AAAACAGTGCCGTTAGCGACAAATATCTGCGGGGAACTATGCAAAAAACGCATCTTCGCACGGGCAGTCCGTGCGTTGGCCAATTATCTTGATTTTTTTCCACGATATAGCGTACAATTCTAGGTTTGGACAGCAGAACATGAAAAAAGTTTTCTTCGGACGCTATCTGCTTTGAAAACTCGTGATCCGAGAATATACTCCGAACAGGCATTTTTCACCGCTGCAGTTGATGAGTAAGCGAACTTTACTTTTTCCTATGTTGCTGATAGCCCCTTATTTTTTGCATATGTTGGCCCCCTTATTTTTTGTGGAGCCCAATTCATTTGGCAGTTTTGATGTAGTTGCGTTTAATTTCTAAGATCTCTTGGATGTATTTCTGAAGGTATCTGAAGTACTGGTTTCTTACGAACTATTTTTTCAGTTTTTTAGCAAATTCTATGAATTATCAGGAAGCGCCAAAAAAGCATTTCTTCTGGTCGCACCTAAGCGATTGTTACTTTTTTAAATGCTTTAATTTATGTCCATTTTCAGGCCTTCAACAAGCAACGCCGTTAAGAAACCGCGGAAGAAAGATGCTCCAATGTTCCTCAAAGATTATGAAAGAAAACTTATTTTGGAAAAGGGCGGGTAAGCTTAGCATCTAAGCAGATTTTATTCATATAAAACTCTCATGATGAGGCAAAGTTAAGTTTTTTATTTGCAGTGATATCAGCGAAGAAGAGGAAAATGCTGAGGAAATTCCGGGACCTGGATATTACGAGCAGCAGGAGTCCATCAAGAAAGAGTATGCCTTCCTTCCTCCATCACTTTGAAATGTACTTGTTGGCCTATTGTTTTATGGGGCTTAGAGTTAGACATTTTACGCAACCGTCATGTAATTTGTTTGGTTGTTTTTCAGGCTAAAAGCAGTGCTCGCTGAACAGGGCAGTGATAACGAGGACTCCGAGCCACTGTTAAAACACCGTGTCAAAACCGAGCAGCAGCTGGTAAAGTATTTTCTATATTTCGTTATTAATGAAAGAATATACAAGCAGTTGTTCTGACGGGGAGTTGTAGATTCGATGGATATGCCTCCAAGAAAAGGCATTTTTACTGCACATATTGTTGTTGAGCAGGCAGAGAAAAATGTTTTGTTTTAGAAAAAAGAGGAAGACGACTACTACGAGTGGTTGAAAGGGCAAAAGGACAGTGATTTACCGCCATCTGGTGCCGAAGAATTGGTAAGAATTCATTGTTTCACCCATGCTTTCAAGTTACTTTACTTTGCTGTGGTCGGCTAAAGAGTGTTGATTTGTCTTCGTTTCCGTGAGTTAAAAAGCTGTTCTATGGTTTTTTCCACGGTAAATTGGTTTCATCAGTGCTCACTTTTCATCACAATAGCGTTCCTTCTTTTGCTTTCATCGGTGCTGACGTTTCGCATTCGTACTTCACGCTTTTGGTACAGTGGTATTATATAGGAGGTTATGGTTTCTGTTTGGAAACGCCGGTAGTGTTTTAAAATTTGCCTCAATCAACAATCCTTTAACGTGCAATTTCTGGCTTCTGGTTCCTGACGCATGCTTACATCTTGACCAGCATAGACGTAATTGTCAGCTTCTTCCAAAACAACACCATTTATCCGCAGTTTTGTTGCCCGCATACCGGCATCACCTTCGTCTTCGATGCGTAGTTGTTTCAAGCTACTCTCTTACTTCGTGCGTTGAACTCCTGCAGTACCTTATTTTTGTGCTGAGAGTTACATAAGATGAGAATTTGCGATCCGCGAAGCGAAATTGTTTTAATTGCCAGTGATGTTAGAAATGAAAAACTATTCGCTTTGTGATCGTCCGCCTTTTCATGCGTTTTTTGCAGCTATGC